CATATTATAAGGTAAGGTTATAAAACCACCATTTAAGATCATTTTAGTGAAAGTTTCATCCTTCAAGGCGTACCATTCACTGCTGAAATACTAAACAACCTGCTTCCATGGCCGAGATACAGGGCGCCCATATTATAAGGTAAGGTTATAAAACCACCATTTAAGATCATTTTAGTGAAAGTTTCATGTTCCTATCTCATAGAATTTAAGAACAATGATGAATAAATAATTTTCGAGCAAAATTTAAATGGTCGGCTGAATATATTACCGCAGGAGCCGCGGCCGCGGAATTTAAATGACCACGTCAAAGGGTTAATGTGCTACTTTCACTATATTTTTAAACTATTGAATTTATGAGTTTTATGTAACCATCGTTTTTTCCTCCACAGTTTCAGCTTGCGACATTGACAAAGGAAGGTGTGACTGTGGAGGGTCCCCTGACGGTAGAACAGAGCTGGGAGATGGGCACCATTGTGAAGTGAGTACCACCCTGTAGTTCTGTTGTACATTAAAGCTATAAGCTATATCCATGGAACAGGCCATGAAGGCCCATAGGGTTGCGAGACATTGAGGCTCCCACATTTTCTAGAGAGTTGGCTTACAGATGGAGGTGAGGTTGTCAGCCCTACACACTGGACTCTCTTTACCACCTGATAATCATTTCTATTAGAGATTAAGTTGACCCCAGGGCCATAGTGCAGGTGGAAGGATTGGGTCAATTTAAAAATCTAATGACCTTGTTGGGAGTTGAACCCACCACCTTCCAGCTTGTATCAAGAGTGCCTCAAGCAACTACAGTACTGCATGTATATTATTGCGCACTCAAAACACTGCACTGAGTTTCTTCTCTCTTTACAGGCAAGACGAATAAGGAAGGTCCAGGTGGTGGATCCCAGAGTGCAATGCAAAGTACAGATTCTTAATGTTACTGTATTTACCGTAAATAAAAGCTACGATCTCCCCCTAATTCTTTGTCTCTTTTATTTTTTAGCTGAACTTTGTCCTTTATTTTGTAAGACCAGTTTGATGTTGGGCTGTCCCTTATCTGGGATGGCCTAAGGTAGGGTAGGACTTCATGTGATGTCCTGTTCTGACTGAGTTCAATTCACTTTACAGCCTACATCTCTTATGGTGCATTTTGACCTTATATATCATTTCATTTGCATCAGTTTCCAAACTGATTTCTAATGAGGTTCTCCATCTAAAATTATTTCAGGTACCAGTGTATGGTCATCTCATTCTGCTTTATTTAACTGTCCCAACAGTATTATGAAGCCACTGCCAATGCAGTTTTCTTTCTTCTCATGTTAGATCTTTTTGCGTAGGTATAAATATTCTTCTCCGCATGCTCTCAGACATTTTAAACTACGTGTAACTTCAGCTTGAGGTTTAGTCATGTTGTGAGCTGAGGCAGTTCCAGACATCCAGCATACGAAGGGGGACCCAAAAATAACCGGAACCGACCTGTTGCGCGCGCATGCTTTGTAGTTACGAGTTGTGCTGCTAGGTGGTGTTAGCTGGGGGTCTCCCGCGACTGTTAGTGAGCTGGCGTCAGTCTGAGTTGAGTGGTTTGTCTGTGGTGCTCTGTTGTGTGCGTTCCTGTTTCAACCCTTTGGCGATTAGTGAGATGGCCGACCAGAAGGAACAAAGAGTGTGCGTGAAATTGTGCTTTCTGTTAGGGAAAACTGCAGCCGAGACTGTTGGGATGCTTCGGCAAGCCTTTAATGATGATGCTTTGGGGAAATCACAGGTCTACGAGTGGTTTTCCCGTTTCAAATCTGGCAACATGTCAACAGAAGACATGCCACGCCCCAGGCGTCCTTCGACAGGAAGAAATGACGAAAACATTGCCAAAATCAAACGTGCAATTGATGAAGATCGTCGAAAGACCATTGACCAACTTTCTGAGGAAACGAACATCTCATGGAGCACGGTCCAGCAAATTTTAACCGAAGGTTTGCACATGAGACGGGTGTCTGCAAAATTTGTTCCTCGCTTGCTCGGAGATGACCAAAGAGAAAACCGCGTGAATGTTTGCCGCGACTTGAAGAGTGAAGTGCAGAACGATCCAGAATTTCTTAAAAGAATTGTGACTGGCGATGAGTCTTGGTGCTACGGGTACGATCCAGAATCAAAGCAATCATCAAGCCAGTGGAAAACTCCAACTTCACCACGACCGAAGAAAGCGCGTCAAGTGCGATCCAATGTGAAAACAATGTTGATTTGTTTTTTTGATGTGAATGGCATTGTCCACAAAGAGTTCGTTCCGCCAGGACAAACAGTGAACCAACATTTTTACCTGGATGTGTTACGAAGATTACGAGAGAGTGTGCGACGAAAACGGTCCGAAATGTGGAGAAATGGGAACTGGTTGCTTCACCACGACAATGCTCCAGCCCACACAGCTTTGACATGCAACAACATGGTGATTGTGCCTCATCCACCTTACTCACCTGACCTGGCTCCGTCGGACTTTTTTTTGTTTCCACGGATGAAGAGAAGTCTGAAAGGAAAGCGATTCCGTGATGTGGATGAAGTCAAAGAAAACACGCTAAAGGCTTTGAACAGTATCCAGCCTCAAGAATTCCAGCACTGTTTTGAGCAGTGGCAAAAGCGTTGGGACAAGTGCATTAATGCACATGGACAATACTTTGAAGGGGACTAATATACAGTTCAATAAAAATGCAAAAATAAAAAATAACAAAAATAAATTCTGGTTAATTTTGGGTCCCCCTCGTACATTACAAACACTATCTTCAGGGTGAGTAAGGCAAGGAGTACAGAGATTGGTATTATCCAATGAGAAGGGGTAACAAACCAATTTCTATAGCAGAAATAAGGATGGGGGTGAGGAAGATAGTGCTATCCAGTGGGAAGGGACCATGTGGTGAAGAAGGTTGGAAAAAAATAAATGAAACCCAAAATAAACATTTAAATACTATATCAATATCTAATTTCAGAAGTTCACCTTCCTAGTATTTTCCCAGAGAACACTAATCGCAGGTATCTGAGCGGACAAGAAACACAACTCTTGAGAATAATTTATATACATATGTGCCCATATGGAGATGAATTAAAAATTGAATTTGAATATGCAAACCACTTTTTTCATGTTTTAGTTCTGTAAAGTAGTTATTCCAAGGCATTAATTTTAGTTCACATCTCTCAACCATTTGTATAGTACATTTCAGCTACTGACTTCTAATTAGCAAACCCATCCTTTATAAGCATTGTTTCTGTTCTCAGGACATATTAATTACTAATGACTTTAACATAGAAACAAAAACAATAAATGTTAACTGCACAAAAGTAGCCTGAACCAAAATGCTAATTTGCTTGGTGGTATAATTATCAAACGCGGCACAAATTTAAGTATGAAACACATTAGGATTCACATCCTGGCATGGATGTCGTGTTCAGTCGAGTTAAACTGCTTTTTTTTTTTAACCAAAAGGAAGAGATGATCACAAACTGTGTAGTGACAAAAGAAATCTGGTAGTGCATACAGGAATACCAGTAGAGGGAACCAGAAAAGCATGCAACAGTCATTCCATAATTTATTTGTAATAGCACTCATTTAATTAACAATTTAACTTAGCCCCCCAAAGTACACAATTTAATATGTACAGTACATATTTATACAGCCTAACTACAGATTTTAACAACTTGTTGGCAGGAGTGTTGACCTTTGTCAACACTTCAAAAACTGAGTCATGGCAACAATCAGAGTAATATAACTGTATGAAGAAGATATTCTGCTTATGAATACTGCTAGCAAATAACTGACTGAAGTATGACCAGTAGGATGCATGTTACATTTGCCATGAGACTACAGTAGTACATACTACATGAAGTTCATGCCAAGGCCATAAACTTGTCTCAGTGCTGCACTTAAGGGCCTGAGAGAGATCAGCAAGTTTAAGTTCCTCTTGCATAGATTAATCATGTGCTGTTTCAGCACACACTGAGGCACAAAACTACCACAAAAATAGAAGAAAAAATGACAACAATTCTACCCCTGGGTAACTAGCATCAGGAATTCTGCCAACAGTGGATTAAAAGCATTCACCTATATGTGATGATTAAAGGTGTGGAGGATCATTATGCCTACTATGACAAATAGTTCAGGAGCCATGTAGGCTTGCACATGCACCCTACCAGCAGGAAAGTTCCTACATTTGTACTTAACTTAAATCAGAAGAGCACAGAGGCACTGACAACTGTTCACTCACAGAACAGATACATATGGAAGGCAAGACAAATCAGTTGGGAATGAGATGTGTGTCACACCACCTTCTGCTTATAACAATAATCTGTTACATTCTGTATTCAAAGACTTTCATGACCACTGTTGACCCTGCAGGGAGTGATTCATAGTTCTTCAAATATTAATGCCGCTGACATTTCACATTGCACTGTGACAAAATATGAACTGTTTAGTATGACAACACTTGTTACAGCGTTGAAATCTTTACCACATAAGAACATTACATCACTTGGTGACAATTCAAAATAACATCCAAATGCAAACTCATGTCAACACTTCTGAGCACACTTAATTTGAACCTTTCTGCCATATGAAGACAACTTACTATTACAGCAATACTTGTATTATACTCATTATCAAGGACCACTCATGCTTGATAGAGCAGCTACTAAGTGGCCAAATCATTTCCCATTTAGTATTACTTTATTCCAAAACCAGCTTAAAGTTCAAGTAGAGTAATTTTTTTTATATATTTCATTTTTCCAGTATACTATTTATATTAGAGTAAGATGTAAATTACCGTCTAAGTATGAGGGTTATTGGAAAGTAACCTCAGTTTATTTTAGGTAACTTAGGAGCAGGCAAGAGCTTGCACATGCAAGGTAGCATCACGGGACTCACTGCCTTGCAAACCATGATATAACTTGTCACCTAGTGTTTGTTCTTATCTCTACAGAGTGAATTATGATGTGTCCTATGATTGATAATCCTGCCAGCTGTGAAATTCGCAATGTTATCTCCTTTCTTCATGCTAAAAACATTAATGCTGTGGAAATCCATCATGAATTATGCATGGTTTATGGTTGAAATGTAATGACTCAAAGAACTGTAAGACACTGGTGTAGACTGTTCAAAGATGAGTGAACAAATGTCCATGATGATAAGGAATGTTGTCAGTCATCTGTGGTAAGTGACAATCTCATTCAGTGTTGACCAAAAGATTTTTGAAAAACAGTGCTTCACAATTTCAGAAATGTGAGAATTTCCACAAATTTCATGGGCTGTTTCTATGAGATTATCACAGTTAAGACTAGAGTATCACAAGTTTTGCACAAGATGGGTTCTGACAATGCTCACAGGTGCACACAAAATGAAGAGAATGGCTTTGGCTTTGACTTTTTAGGAGCGACACCACAAAGATGGTGATGAATTCCTCAATCACATCGTACAAGTAATATGATGAAACCTGGGTTTCATTAGTGAATGCTGGAACCAACAAGCACTCAAAGCAATGGATGCAGACACATTCAAAAAACAGGCTGAAAAAGTTTAAGCAAACGTCTGCCTGCCAGAAAGCTGGTATCATCCGTTTTCTGGGACACGAAAGGAGTACTGATGGTGGAATTCATGCAACAAGGGACCACAATATCACAAGTGTATTGTGAAACACTAAAAAGACTGTGTAGGGCCATTCAGAACAAAAGATTTGGAATGCTGACATCTGGTGTAGTGCTCCTCCACGACAATGTGCGTCCGCATACAGCTGCTCACACTCTAGCTCTGCTAGAGCATTTCAACTGGGAGTTGTTTGACCACCCTCCTTACAGCCCTAATCTCATTCCAAGCGACTACCACCTGCTTATCTACTTGAAGAACTGGTTGAGATCACAGTGCTTCAACAGTAATGAGGAGTTGATGGAAGGTGTCAAAATGTGGCTGAGCTCACAGCCAGCAGACTTCTTTGACACATGAATACACAG